AACGAAATTATAATGGAATTCAGAAAGAAGCCAATTTGGGTTTTCTAGACAGGGAAAATGCTTGGTCTATTGATTTGGGTAAAGACTGGCAAGTATAGTTAGAAGATGACTGGATAAAGTGAAATTAGATTGATCCCTTATTTCCTAGGTGTTTCTACCAGGGATGGAAAAAGCAGAACCTTAGGAAACAATCATATGATGGATGGGTGGCACAAAAGAAGCTAATTCCTGAAGAAAGACTGATAGTGATACACACAGAAAATCAGTTATATTCTTTAAGGGAAGTATAAACTATAATGAGGAAAAGTATCTTTACTCAAGGAAATCTTATAAAGAAAAATCTAGGATCTGAAGTCACATTAGAGCTCTGAATAAAAAGAAATAAGAAAATAATTGATTAATTTTTTTTTCCCTTTAAAGGAAAAGTGACATAATATAGTGGGAAAAGTATTAGATCTAGGATCAGGAAACTGGGATCCACATCCCGATTTTACCACTTCTTCACTATATGTACTTGAGGAACTCCCATAATTTGAGGGCCTTACTTTCTCCATCTGTAAATGAGGGAATTAAATTAGATGACCTTTAAGATCACTCTCACCTTGCTGATATTCTGATTCTGGATATAAAATAAGTAACATTGGAAAAGAAAGCAGGACAACCTCAGTAATGTGATAATTTGGTTTCATTATCTGATTTTTTTTAAAATTGGGTTATTCTAAAACAATGCATATTACATTATTTATACAATATTCTGATCAAACTGCAACTTGGATAAAGTATCTCTTTTTATCCCTTATTCGATGGTAATTACTTTTTGTGTTCTGCTGAAATAGCTGAACAATGTATTATTTTTTAAAAAATACTATTAGATATTTTACCAGTATAAATATCTTTAACCTGAATGGTCTTATTGAATTACCATTGCCAGACATACCACTAATTACTACAAAGCTTGTATCTTGGAAAGCTTTCCAGTTGGCAGAACAAAAGAACAGCATTCCAACATTCTTGAATACTAATGCTGGCATAAAAAACCATAACAATAAGATCTTTCAGCTAGATATTTCAACCATAAAAATTTCATTTTGAACTTTGATACAGGGTTGGCCTATTAGTCATTCATTTTTTTGATGGTAACCCTTCCTGAGAAAAGTAAAATAAAACTGATTCTTCACACTAGATTAAAAATAAATTTGACAATTTTTTTCAGAAGTTCAATTTTCTTATTGGGCATAAAATATTTGTGTTTTCACACAATATTATTTTTAGGGAAAATATTATAAACTTTAAAACTCCATAAATGTGATTTATTATTGTTTTATACACAAATATTAAGTGAAAGGGGATAGGAAATAGGGAAATGAGCTGTGATTTCACTGATGTTGGGAACTTCTAGATGAGAAAACTCCCTCTACCAATACAGGTGACCACTTTCTCTTTATCCTACAGTCAGAGAGTTTCCAAAAATACTAAAAGATTAAGTGACTTGCCCAGGGTCCCTCAGCCTGTATGGGTCAGAAGAACATGAACCTGGGTTTTTTTGGTTCTGAGTCTAATACTCTATGCTATGCTGCTTCTCACACAAATATTAATTTTATATAAATAACATATAAATATACTATATAGCATCATATTTAATAATGCAGACCACCATTCTACGTCATATACAAATGAGGTCAATTTTAAGCGAAATATAACTATAAAATTAGTGTTTCATAATTTGACATTATAGTTATCAACCAAATATCTTCCAATTCTGAAGAGCTATGGAACAAAATTCCAAAAGTTTTACCTGCCCTCTGTCATCACTTGTTGATAATCTATCATCTAAAGTTAAAATATAAGAACCCCAAATCTTCATATTAACTTATATCTAAGATATGAAGTAACCATAAATGTGGTAACATTAAGGGTGAAAAGAACAATGAAGCTTTGTGATATGAATTACAAGACTAAGTTATACACCTGATATAAGAATCATTAAGCCTTGAGTCTAACAAAAAACGATTTCCTAGCTAACTCAGTTAAGAACTAGTGAATAATGTACCTCAGATTCAGGTTCTCAAACTACAAAATATTCTGTGCAACCTAACAAGCAACACTGTAAAAGATTAGTTTGAAATGAAAAGTGTATAAACTATGAAAATCTGGAAATGACCTGGGCACAAGGAAATCTAAGGACCTTTCTAGCTCTAAATCTATGATTCTGAGTCTAGTGACCTTAAGAATAATGCTAAGCATATGTTACCAAACTTAATAAAGAATAGGTATGTGTATTAATTTTTTAAACTAATAATAATGTAGCAATAGTGAGGCAGAATAATTAGCAAAGTTGTTCAAGCATTTTTTGCTCAATATAAACATTCCTCTGTTTGGAGTAACTGTATAAAAGGATCTATAATTCTCTCTCTCTGTTCCCCTCCCTCTCTCTCACCTCTCTCTTTGTCTGTCTCTCCCCTCCCCCAACTCTCTGTATCTCTATCTTTAGCTTTGAGCCCCCAGTCAAAGAAGAAAGTACTCTGGCAGACCTCAGAGTTGGATTTATCCCTGCTATTTCTCCGAAGACATTTCCCTCTCAACTGCTTCCTCCCAACTACATTTCTAATAAGTACATTCAGATTATCAAAGGTCTGTGATTAAAATTATTTATAAAGACAAAATGAACAGTTAAAACAAAGACAGGTAAATAGTGTTTTCCTATGCTCTAAGTGAAAGGTTCCAGGCTTCCATGAAGGAACTCAAGGATTACTGCTTTGTGATCTATAAACTGAGGACAATGTTTTAGCAACACAGCACCTATTCTGATACTCCAGCCAAATCAGCTCAAACACCCTTGCTTCTAGAGTCCTGGCCACTTTTTTTTACTGAAGCGGCCTCTGCAGGCACTTCTGCAGTTCCAGTTCCAAGCAACTTTTCATGGCCTCCTCTTCTCCAGCTCAGTGTGTCTTATATACATCTCATCAAGAGCGGAGTTCCTCATTAAGCCTGACTCCTAGTTAGACTGAACTGTCTTTTAAAGATCACTAATGCATGTGGAAAATCACCAGTCACCTTTTTTGTTGCTCTCTAAATTCATTTAAGGGATTTGATCACACCTGTGACCATCTGTCATGACTGAATTTTAAAAATGAGTTTAATATCTCATTATCAAACTCTTTTCTGAATATTATATCCTGAGCTTTTAAAAAAATTTTCTTTACACACGATGTGTCTAAACGTCTTTCTGTTTGAAATGAAGCCATCTTCATTTCATTTCCCTTTTCTCCTGACTTTTGGATTAAATGATTTCTGTGTGTAAATCCACATCAGTCCTGTCCTACTACTGTGTGGTAACTTTATTATCTCTTAGCCTTATAGTTTTTATAGTGTACAGTGCCCTACCATTTCTAGCTCTGCCATTCTGTGATGCTGAGCACAAAGTAAAAAGCAACATCAGAACACAAAAGGGAACTCTCAGCAATTTTCAAAAACAGTTCATTTTGTGGTTTTATTTCTTTGGGGCACTTTTTAAATGTCAAAAGTTCAAAATCTAAGCTTTAAAAAGAATTTAACTTTTCCTTACTGTGAAACATCAGCTTTGGAATATAAAGCGTTGATGCAAAATGCCTGAACATCAAGTAGGAAAAAGGACTAATAAATTATATTTATGTCAACTAAAACTATCTGAACTAAACTCTTCTCCATAGATTACTATTATTATTATTATTATTATTGATAATCAGGAAGGCAAAATGTTTTATTTTCTATAAATGTTTAAATTTCATATGGCTTATATTTTGTTATGCCTCATTCACTGTCAATTTTAAATTCTGATATTTGCAAATAAGGCCTTACTTGAAGGTTTAAATTAAGTCACAAGTATCTATCCTTCACCACTGAACTTGAATCAAGCAAACCCTTGATTTTTATTTTCTCCTAATACAGATAATATCTACTAATAGGTCTTCAGCTATAACTTAAATGCCACACTAAGTCATATTTATACATGTTGAAGGGAATTACAGAATATCAGAAATAAAGTCTATCATTGCTTCTGTTTATTGCACTTATTAACCCATTTGACAATCTTGGTAAATGCTGCTTTCCATGAGAGTAATTTCTGAAATTCTTTGTATTTTTTGGCATAGCACACTGGCTTAAATAACAGGGTTTTTTTTAAAATGAAAAATAACTACAAAGGAAAAGAAAACAACTCTCATAGTAAAGCAGTCTAGTAAATCAACAATTTGAGGGAAAAGGATGAAACTAAAATTAAGGAAATAATGAAAGTAAATGGGAAACCAGGAAAGACATTCTTTCCTTTTTCTAGATAGCAACATAGAAGTTAAAGGTGAATATGACCTTAAGACATCATCTTATGCAGTTCCCTGATTCTGCAAAAGAAAATACTGAGGTCTAGAGAGCTAAGTAACTTGTCCAAGATAACACAAATAATAAGAATATGACTCAGGAATTTGAGCCCAGGTGCTTTGAACCTCAATCCAGTGCCTTTTCCATTATACTACAATGTCAATGGGCACATAAAACAAATTTGTAAGGATATATCTAGTAATGATGTGTAAATCTACAATAAGAAAAGCTTGTGTAATATCACCTATGATGTCTTCTTTATTAAGAAACTTGTCTCTGAAAGAAATGTAATAGTCATTTCTGAATGAGATTATAAAGTATATACTTTTTGTTTCCAAAAAAATTGCCTGTTCTGAAAGCAGATAAGACCATATTGTTCAGACCTTCAAAATCAATTTTAACTAAGACTAATTATTTTGTAAAGTAAGCCAACTTGTTTAAGTGAGATAACAAAATTCATCCATGTTCTTCCATTTCTACAATGTCATATAAACTACAATTTATTGCTCTTCGGAATGTAGTTTTAATTATTTTAATTATTTCAATCTTGGATGTTAGTCAACTGCTTTTTTTTTAAGCCTTCCAAAAGGGGGAAAAAAGTACAATGATTTGATTTAAAGTATAAATTACACACATAAATTACATACCTTGGCCTCCGAAATGCTAGGCTATACTGCTGGCAAGCCAGTCCCACTGTGGGAGTATAAACGATGGGCATGAATTTCTCAATGTCAGAAGTCAGCACTCTGTAGAAAAGCTTTTCATTTTCATCCTGAAGGTCCATTAAAAGAAGGTATCTGTGGAGAATGAAATATGATTAGTTCTAGATTTTAATATACCTATATGTTAATCATAAAGAAGTTGTCCAGATATCTAATTAAAATATTTCTTAAAGCAAATACACATGCTTTCTTAAATCTAGAGTGTATTATGTCTGATACCCACTAGCAACCTATAATCTAACAAAATATGGGCAGACTAAAGGACTATAAAACTGAGCTAGATAACAGACAAGTTAAAACTACTGCCAAAGTGATATTTAAATATTAAAGTCACTTTAGCAGTATTATTTCTGTCTTTGGGTAAACCTGCCCTCAAGTCTATCGTGTTTTGGAAATGGGTGTATTATGTATAAGGAATTATATTAGGTGAAGGAGATAACAAAGATATAATATCCCAGTAATTCCTACGTAGAAAAAGTTGCATAAAAATAGTCAATACATTGTAGACTCTATGGGCAGAACCAATCTTCACTAAATGGACTGCCCCCTGGAAATGCAGTTTTAGGCCTCCACAGCCATAGAATGACTGGCCAGAGAGGGCAGAGACAAGTCAGCCATAGAAAATGTGAAACTAACAATGGGAGGAAGGGGTTTAGCCAGTCATTTGGGCATGCAGCTAGAGGCAGACAGGGAGACCACTCTTAGTAACAGGGCAGAGAGCAACAGCTGGGAGGTGGTTTCCCTTCCTAGGCAACACAGAGAAAAGAAGAGAATGAGGACTGGCAGGGAGGTATTTAGACTGGTGGCTGCAGCTCCAATCAAGAAAACACATTACAGAGAATTTAAAGCAATTAAATCTATCTATCTGACTTACCTTCTACTACCAGTCCGGGTAGCCCTTTTCCCTTTGTCTTCCTTCCTAGTGCTTACTAGGGTAACCCAGAAACCATCTGGACTGCTTGAGTGCCCATAATCTGGATGAGATAGAAATCACTACCTACATTTCCTTTTGGTAAGATACTATCCATCCCTTACCACCTTTCATTCCACTACCTCCTAAGGTCCCCTAGGCCTTATCATTTTCCTCACACTTTAGACTATCAGCACTGTCATCTAACCTATAGATTTAGCTCATAGGTATAACCCCCTGGGCCCTGCCATATGCCTGAACCCCATGACATTTTGGATTTTCCATGTGCTATGTAGTATAACTTTCTTTTATGTACCAATTAAAGTGTGAGACTGTTGAGAACAGAGACTATACAGCCTTTTCTGTTTTTGTGTTCCTAGATTTTAGCACATTGTTTGACACATACTGTAAGTGCTTAATAAATGCTTTTTAAAAATAAAATTTTATTAATATTTTCTGGTTTTGCATACATCAAACTTCCCTTAATATCCCTTTTCCCTCTCAGTCATCCCATATAATATTTTAAAGAAAAAAAAAAGAAAAAAATCAGCAAAACTGATCAATATTGAGGAAATCTGATTTGTTACTGTCCTTTCCATTTTCTCCATTTACACAGTTGCAATCATTGCTTGTTTTATTTCTGTTCACATTATTTTGCATTCATACACCTTTTAATGTTCCTTTGTGTTCTTTATATTCAACATTTCCTACACTATAGTAATATTCCATTTCATTCATTTACCAAAATGTGTTTGGTAATCAATGAAATTACTTTTGTTTCTAATTATTTGCTACCAAGCAAAAGTACAATAAATATTTTCGCATATATAATGAGATCCTCCTTTTTTTAATGCCCTCACTGGGATATATGCCTGGAAGGGAGAGTTGACTCAAAGGAAATAAACACTGTTCTATTTTAATTTCTAGAATAGCTGGTCCAATTCATAGTTCTACCAATTCTTCGAGAACTGTGTGTTTATAAACTTTAACCATTTATCTACTAGGAAAGGGCACTATAAAGCATAGACATAGAAGGATCTTTCTGAAATATGATAAAAAGAAAATACATCCTTAAAGCCAAAAGCTTGCATTATTTGCAATGAGAAACACTAGAAGCTTTCTCAGTAAATACAACAGTAGAGCAAGGATTATTTGACCTATTTCCAGAAATGTTAGCATCACCACTAGGTGTCACTGTGGATCCCTTTAGTCGCAGCAGACAACAAACTCTCTACTCCCCCATGTCCAGGGGAAGGAGTTGGAATGAAAATCTCCAAAATCCTGAGCCAGCTGGAGGTAGGACTTCCACCTCAATCCACTCCTCCCTTCTATTACCTAACTCAGAGAATGGCAGAAGAAAAAGCGTTAGCCGCAAAGATCCTATGGCCTCATTCATTTTTCTAGCGAGCCACAGCTTGCATTTCATGAACTCTTCTTGTGGGCCAGGCTTGCTCATTGTCATTATACAACTTTCAGTTTTGTTTCACTGGTCAAATCATATTATTTTCTCAGTTATTGTGCCCTCTATCGGTTCATGTGTATCTTCCTGTATTATTTTTCTGAACTCTTACCATTATTTCTTATGGCATAGTAATATTCTAATACATTCATATACCACAGTTTGTTTAGCTATTCCTCCAAGGATTTGGTTTTTGCTACCACAAAAATGTTACCATAAATATTCTGCTAAATACAGAAAGTTTCCCTCTTTAACCTACTTAAGGTATATGTTTTGCAGCAAGCCTGGCCCCCCAAAAGAGTTCATAAAATGCATCTCACTATCTTTATTACAGAGGTGAGAGACCATAGATGGGTGCTAAATGTTGCATGTGCTGTTAGGCATGGTTGATGTATTGGTTAATTTTGCAAAATTCTTTTTAAATCTTCATTTCAAGGGAAGGCTCACTGAATAGGAAAGGGGGGAGAGGAGAAGGACATATTCAGAAATGATGCAAATCATACAAAAATAAAAGATATTGATGAAAAATATTTTTAAAAACTGAAGACTACATTATGAAGGCAAACTTTAAACAACGTAACTCTTAAATGCTAAAAGACAAAGGTTAAAAAAGGAAAAGGGAAGATATTTAAAATCCACAAGATCATCAGGAATTATGGACAGGCTGAACATTGAAAATACATCATTTTGCATGTAAAACTCTTTTGAAATATGGCTTGAATCGTGTGATGACCAACTTTGATAGATGTAGCTCTTCTCACCAATACAATGATCTAAGACAATTCCAAAAGACTCATGATGGAAAATGCTATCCACATACACAGAGAGAAAGAACTATGGAGTCTGAATGCAGATTGAAGAATACTATTTTCTTTTTTGTTTATTTTTCCTTTCTAGTGGTTTTTCCCTTTTGTTCTGATTCTTCTTTCACAACACGACTAATATGGAAATATGTTTATTATGATTGCACATTATAACCTATATCAGATTGCATGCCATCTTGGGGAGGGGGAAAAATTCAAAATTCAAAATCTTATAAAAGTGAATGTTGAAAACTAAAAATAAATTAATTTTTAAAAATATGGCTTCAAACTATCTTTCCAGATTGATTCCGTATTATTCCCTTCCACATGCACACTACATTTCACTATAGTCAAATTCCACTATTTCCTCTCTCCCTCTCTTTAGAAAGATAGACAGATAGATTGATTGATAGATACAGATACCTGGAATGCTCTTTACTCTCCTCAATTCAGCCTCTTAGAGTAACTACCTCTCTTTAAGAATTAACTTAGCTGCCACCTCCCACACAAAGGCTGATAATTCATTATTCTTCTCACTTCCCATCTCAAATTACTTTTTATTTGTTTTGTATATATTTTATATCTCTTTTTCTGTGTACGTGTTATTTCTACCTAGCATGGTATAAGCTCCCTGAGATAAAGGAATTTTATTTTTGTTTCTGTATCCACAGTAAATAGCACATTTGTTGTTTGTGTCATTTCGGTTGTGTCCAACTCTCCGTGACTCCAATTTGGGGTTTTCTTGGCAAAGATACTGGAGTGGTTTGCAATTTTCTTCTCCATCTCATTTTACAGATGAGGAAACTGAATAGGTGCTTAATAAATGCTTATTGGATTGAAATGGAATTGACAGAATACCAGAACTTCAGGGTACCCACCCCCTGAAGCTGAAAAAGTTAAGTTTTGAATAAATATAAGCAAATATTCCATTACATAATAAATAGTTAAACTATGGAATAAGTTTTTTTAAAAGATGGTGTAGCCTGAAAAAGGAAATATGTATATATACGTATAACATACATGTGTGTGTATGTGTGTGTGTGTATATATATATATATATACATATATATATATATCATAAAATATATATTAATCATTAATCTATAGCTGAAAGGGACCTTGGAAATGATCTATTTCAATACCCTCATTTTAGAGATGAGGAAACTGAGGTTCAAAAGCGCAGCTTGTCCAAGGTCAGACAGACAGCAAGTGTCAGGGCAAGAATCAGTTTAGTGCCTCCCCGCTACACAATACGGCTACAGTAGTGATATTTTGAGACTGGCTTCCTTCTATAAAATGTCCAGTGATATCACTGTCAGACATAACATAATAACCCAGATGACCAAAAGCAATTCCTTTACTCTTATTAGATGACAATGGCATAGTCCAATCCTCCACTGGATCTCCTATATAATCAATACAACTATTCCTTCCAATAATGCAACTTGTAATTCATTCATATATAACCCATGCTACGCAACTCTTGTAAACATCTTCTCAAAACTTTGCCCCAGAGGATCAAGTTGACCACAAGCATCTAAGTGCCTACTACGTGCCAAGCACTATGCTAAGATGATGGTGATACAAAGAAAAACAATTCTCAAGGAGTTCACAGTCTAATGTGGGAGACAACATGTAAACAACTACGTACAACAAAAATATGTACAAGACAAATCAGAGATAATTAGCAGAGAAAAATACTAGCATTAAGGGGTAATAGGAAAGGCTTCTTGCAGAAAATGGGGTTTTAGCTGACATTTAAAGGAAGCCAGGAGACAGAGAGGAAGGAGAGAATTTCAGGCATTTAGGGAGCACTAGTGAAAATGCTCAGAATCAAAAGATAGAGATCAGATAGAGATCACAGACCTAGCCCCAAGGACAATAAAAGTAAAGATCACTGTCCCTCCTGAGGGCAAATACTCTATTTGGCTTGGAGGCTCCATTCTGGCCTCTGACCAATTTGAGCCATTTAACATAAATACAGACAAAAGAGGGAATGGGAGAGGGTATTTTTTGTATCTACTGCATTAATAATTTTTCCTTTCTTTTAATTGTAAGAGCCATAATGGCACCCTAATTTACATCCCTGCCCCAACACAGATGTAAATGAAGGCTTTTAATAGTCTCCAGGGGAATTGCATGAAATCAGTGTCAATACTTAGGAGAGTGGAGGAGCTTTACCTGTACACTGATTTAAAACCAGTTCAAATAAAAGTGCACATGTTAAAGAAACTTGAAGGGGGTAAAAAGATCAGTTTCAGTTGAATGATATCGACAGAAACGACAGTGCAGAGAGTAAAGAAAACAGTGAGAGGAAGAGAGACGGAAGCACTGATTATAGATGGATTTCTAATGGAGTGAAACATACTGTGTAGAAACTAACAGCAATATTGTAAGATGATCACTGTGAATGACTTAGCTATTCTCAGCAATACAATGATCCAAGACAACTCTGAAGGACTTAGGATGAAAAATGCTGTTCATCTCCAGAGAAAGAACTGATGGTTCTGAACACAGACTGAAACATACTTTTTTACTTTGTTTTTCTTGAATTTTTTTGTCTGTGTTTTCTTTCACAACATGACTGTTTTGGAAATGTCTTGCAGGATGACACGTGTATAAGAAAGGATTACAAGTGAGGCTTCCACAACAGAACAAGGGAATTCTGAGGACTTCCAAGATCTTGTGGATAGTCCCTCAACCAATCAGAAAGTGCCCCAAACATTCCACAAACAAGTTCCTTAAGAACCCTGGAGGCTAAACTGGTTTCAACCAGTGGTCAAAGACAGGGCCTTGACAGGGCAAAGGCTTTTCTCCACTAATGAGCTTAATTCTCCACTAATAAATGCTTAATAAGCTTATTGAATATTAACTGACACAACCTGAGGGCAGAGATAGCCGCCATTTTTGAACATGTGACATAGGAAGTGGAAGCAGTTCACGGAACATGGGATAGGCTGCTGTCCAGGAAGAGTGTAACTCAGATGAACTAGACCAATCCGAGCCCTGGTGGGTGGAGTACAGATTTTACTACCTATTTAAAAGTTAGTTGTACCACTGAACTAGCACCCATGTGCCTGCTTTTCTGAAGAGAAAAGTAATAAAGGCTTTCCTTTACTCACTCCTGTAGTAGATTTTTGTTTCAGACTTTTCTAACGTGTATAACCTGTGTCACACTGCTTGCCTTCTCAATGAGGAGGGGTGGGGAGGAAGGAAGGGAGAAAATTTGGAACTCAAAGTTTTAAACACAAATGCTAAAAATTGTGTTTACATGTAACTGGGGAAAAATTGAAAACCAAATAAATTGGGGGGAAAAAAACCCTGAGAGCTATCCTCTTCCCCTCATTCTATATTACTCCACATATCCAATCATTGCCAAGATTTTGTTTCTACCTCCATAATACATTTTACCCCTAATGCCCTTCTTTCAACTTCCACTGGCACTAACTATACCAGTTCAGAACCGTTCAGAACCTTAACATACCTCATATGGACTACTACAATAGCCTCCTAATGGGTCTCCCTTTCTCAAGCTTCTCCCCTTTCCCAACCTAGCTTCCACACAACTACCAAATTGATATTCCTAAAGAACAAGTCAGACCACATCACTCCTTTGTACAATAAATCGTACTGGCCCCTACTACCTCTAGGATAAAAAACAAACTCCTCTATTTGGCATTTAAAGCACTTCATAATCTTTCTAACCACTTTTCCAGTCTTATTATTCATAAATACCCTTCATGCACTATCTAGTAAAGCAAAACTAGGCTTTTTGCTATTTCTTACCCATGACAATCCATTTGCTTCTATCAATCAACAAGCATATATTAAACACCAATTCTCCATGCCTTTGCACAGGCATGCACTGCGCCACCTAGCTGCCCCATTAGAACTCTTTCAAGTAATATATTGCTGAAAAATATTGTAGACTATCTATGCAGCAACATGAAAGATAACAGCTCATGTGCTCCATTAGTATCTACATAATATTCAACAGATGGACAGCAACAAAGTGATACTAGAGCAGTATAGAATGCTTGATTTGGAATCAGGTGAAAGACCTGAGTTCAACTTTGGCCTCAGGCACTTATTAACTGTGTAACCCTGGTTAAGTCACTTACTCTCTCTCCGTCTCAGTTTCCTCATTCGTAAAATGAGGATAATAATGGCATGTACCTGACAAAGATTATAAGGATCAAATGAGATAAACTTACATAAGATGTATCATAAAAATAAAAGTACTCTATAAACACTAGCTACAGACAGAGGCACATTGGCTAAACCCTATGTGAAGGATTTATGGGACAACATGGATAAGAGTTGCTAAGGGTGAATGTGTGGATAGGTTACTTTTTGTACCACTGGAAGAATTATTTATATTAATGAAACCACACAGCCACTTAAGTACCAAAGCACATTAATTAAAAGAATTATAGACGAAGGGATTTTACTTTTTCATCTCTGAACCTGCCCATCAAATACCACAGAAAATCAGCAGATGCTATTAAATATATAATAAATATCTTTAAAAGTGATTTACCTGTCAAAATCTGAGTTCAGCCGGTCGAAATTCTTAACAACTCTAAAGACCTGGATGTCTTGACCAAGAAAACAAGGTGGTAGTAATCCATGTATATTCAACTGTTGTCTCTCTTCCAAAGTGAAAGCCATACCCTAAGAATAAATGAATATAACATAAATCCCAGAGAAAACACAAAGGACATTAAAAACAGAAATGGCCTTGATTTTTAAATACAGAAGGCAGGATGGTTTACTTCAAAGAATACCGCATTAAAAGAGCACTGATAATGTATGACTACAAGTGTTTAACCTCACTAAGCCTCAGGTTCAGGCCATACCTAGGAGCTGTATACAGATAAAATACATAATTGATAGAAATGAAACTGTTTTGAAAAATATGTAGCACTATACAAATATAAGGAGGAATCATTACTTTTCAAGCGTACTGAATTGCTTGCTGTATACCTTAGTAGCTTCCTACCTCCCAACCTTGCCTACTGAAATTCTACTCATCCATCAGGGCAGCTAGGTGGCGCAGTGGATAGAGCACCAGCCCTGAAGTCAGGAGAACCTGAGTTCAAATCTGGCCTCAGACCAAACACTTACTAGTTGTGTGACCCTGGGCAAGTCACTTCATCTCAATTGCCTAAAAAAAAAAAGAAAAGAAAAGAAAGAAAAAAAGAAATTCTACTCATCCTTCAAGTTCCAGTGTAAAATCTTGCATGAAGCTCCCACTGATTCCCACAGATGAAAATTATCTCTTCTGTCCCCAGCTATATGGTACAATGCCCTTTTATCTTATCTTTGCTCTGAGTATACTTTATCATTAGTTATTAAATATTTATTATATAGTATTATAAATCTATGTGTTACATCCCCTGACCTACAATATAAATTCAATGAAGGGACAGCTAAGTCTGAATCATCTTTATTTTTCCCCCAGGGTATAACAGCATTTTATCCATTCTGACCCTTAGGAAATGATTATTGAATGCATGAAAAATAAAATGTTAAAGATAGGCAAGCTGTATTCTTTCACAGAATTAAGACCAAAATCAAGAAAAATGAACAATTTTTTTAATCCCACCATGAAAAGATATAGTGACAGAGATGATCAAGACACAAATCAAGAAGAAAATTACTCCAAAACAGCTATAATCAAGTCCTCAAAGCTTCAGTACAAGTTCAGCTTGAACTCCTGAAGAATGAAGAGTTTTAAAATGAGCTTTAAATTATTTCACAGAAATGAGATTGCTAAAGAAAAGAATTTGAAAAGAAACAAGAGAAATAATTGCAAAGTAAATGAAAGTTAAGGAATAAAGAATTGGAAAGAAAATTAATATTTTGGTATGAGATAATATTTATGCAAGCAATAGACTCCTTGAAAATTAGAATGGACTAAAGACAAACTAATGACTCCATGAGTTAAGAAACATTTTTTTTAAAAGACAAAGATTGAAAAAATAGAAGAAAATGGAAAAGTGTTTCATTTGAAAAAAGAAATGACATGGAAAACAGGAAAGGAAAAATAAATTAAGAATCATTAGACTACATGAAAACCATGATTCCCTTCCCCCCCTCCAAAAAAAAAAGAGCCTAGACACCTTTCAAGAAATCATGAAAGAAAACTGCCCAGATTTCTTAGAACCAGAAGGAAATATAAAAGAAAAGAAAAAAAGAAAAGAATCTACAGGTCTTCTCCTGGAAAATAAAACAAAACAAAATTATACTTCCAAGAAAATTACAGCCCAAATCCAAAATAGGAAAAGGAAGGATACTACCAAATTTAATGTGATGTTATCAGAGAAACTATACCAGTATTTCACAAAGGTTATATGCTATGATCAAGTCAGATTTACACTAGGAATACAGGATTAGTTCAATATTAGGGATACTGTAAACATAATGGACCACATTAATATCAACAAAAATATCTGACTATATCAACAGATGAATTAAAAAAACTTCCAACAAAAATAAAAGCTAGTATTATATGTAGTGGTAACAAACTAGAGAGGCCTCTCCAATAAGATAAAGAGATATTAAGGATGTCAACTTTAACTATCACTATTTGATATAGTGCTAGAAATACTAGCTATAATGAGAAGACAAGAAAAAGGAATTGATAGAATACGCATAGGCAAATAAAAAACAAAATTTATGACACTGTGCAGATGACACTGGTGGTTTACTTATGGAACCCTAGAGAATCAACTATGTATTAATTGAAAGAGTAATAATTTCAGCAAAATTGAAGGATTAAAAAAAACCCCTCAAAAACCACCAGCATTTCTATTGATCACTAACAAAACCTTGCAGGAAGAGACACAGAGAAATTAAACTTACAATAACTACAGAATTATTAAAATATTAGGCATACAGACCTAGTAGTAATATTATTGGGTCAAAGGGTCTAAACTCCATCAACAGTTTTATCAACGTACCTATTTTTCCCTTATCTCTTCCAGCTTTTGCCATTTCTGACAGGTGTGAGGTAGTACCTCTGAGTGCTTTTAATTTGCATTCTCTATTCAATAATGATTTAAAGCATTTTTTTCCATATATCTATAGATAGCTTTGATTTCTTCTTCTGAAAACTGCCTGTTCATATCCTTTGCCCATTTATCAACTGGGAAATGGCTCTTAATTTTATAAATCTGACTCAGTCCCATACTCAGTATATATCTGAGAAATGAGGTTGTTATCAGAGAAACTTGATGTAAACATTTTAATATTACTTGATTATCTATGGCATCTTTTGACAACATGTAGTTTCCCTGACTACCTCTTTTAATTACATGTTTTTGCTTTTGCTTTGTCTGAGATCATCATTATTACTTCTGACTTTGTTTTTTTACTTCAGCTGAAGCACATTAGATTACTTTAAATCTTTATGTGTCTGTTTCCAGTGTGTCCCGTTCAAACAACATAGTGTTGGATTCTGGTTTCTAATCCACTCTGCTACCTGATTCTGTTTTATGGGTGAGGTCATCCCACTCACATTCACTGTTATGATGTGCTGTTGTTGTGCAGTCATTTCTGTCATGCTCAACTCTTCATGACCCTATTTTGGGGTTTTCTTGGCAAAGATATTAGAAACTGAGGCAAACAAGGCTAAATGACTTGCCCAGGGTCACACAGCTAGCAAGTATCTAGGGACATATTTCAATTCGCATCTTCCTGATTCCATATCTAGTGCTCTATCCATAGTGTCACCTACCTGCCCTGATCACCCACAAGGCAACATATGATGGGGGGGAAGGGCGAGAAGGGCTGCTCCAATGGTGAATCTTCCTGACTTCAGGCCTGGCAACTCTATCTACAATGTCACCTGGCTGTGTATTTTCTTACATACCACCTTATCTCTCCCTCTCCCTCTTCAAAAGTCTATTTTGTTTCTAATCAGTGTCACCCTTAGTGGGCTCTCCTTTTATCATGCCCCACTCCTTTCTCCTATCCCCTTCCCCTTCTATTTCCCTATTGCATTTCTATATACAATTGACTGTGTGTGTGTGTGTGTGTGTGTGTGTGTGTGTGTGTGTGTGTGTGTATGTGTGTGTTCTTCATTCTTTGAACCTGTTCTGATGAGTGAGTTTCAAGCACTGCCTACCACCCCACCATTTCCCCTTCCTAGTAAAATTCCTTCTTCGTATACCTCTTTAATGTGAAGAAAAATTTCCCCATTCTATCTCTTCCTTCCTCCTTCCCCCAGTGTATCCCTTTCTCCCCCCTTCACTTTCTTTGGAGAGCATTCCAACATAATTGACTTACACTCATGCCCTCTAGCTATGAAAACTCCTTTTAACAGCCCTAATAATGCTAAAGTTCTCAGGAGTTACATGTATCATCTTCCCATAAATGAACATAAACAGTTTAACTTTATTGAGTCCCTTATAATTACTCTTTCATGTTTACCTTTTTATGCTTCTCTTAAATCTTGTGTTTCAGTGTCAAACTTTCTATTCAACTCTGATCTTTTCACCAGGAATGTTTGAAAGTCCTCATTTCATTAAATATCCATTTTTCCCTGAAGGATTACACTCAGTTTTGCTGCGTGGGGGATTCTTGATTGTAATTTTGTAAATCTTTTTAAGAATTATGTTAGAGTGCGAGAAAATCTAAGTTGTTGCTATGATGTTACATTCCTAAATATACAATATTACACCCAAAGCAGAAACATAAATTTAAATCAACAACCTAGAATAAACCTGGAGGGTATTAGCTGGTGAAACTATTCCCTTTCCATTAATTAAAATAGATATATTAAGACATGAAAAGAGGCTACTAGAGTTCTTATAAAATTAAGACAATTTATATATATATATATATATATATATATATATATATATATATATATATATATATATATATATATATATATATATATATATAACTAAAGAAATACCACTTGTATCTCAAGAAAATCATCTGTATCTCAAGTAGGATTACATAATAGATAGAAAGCCAGCCTCCATCATGGGTTTAAGTCCTGTCTTCAAGACATAATGCCTTTGTGTGACCCTGGAAAAATCACTTATCTTCTCAATGCCCCAGTCCACTCTCTACGATTATAAGTTGCATAGAAGATGACAAATCTACATTAGTACATGAAGTTTCCTCAAAATCAAATCACAGGCATAGACTAAAAAAAAAAAAGAAATCTACCACAAAATGTTGCTACTCAGAAAACTCAGATTAGCACATTAAATTTTTTTTTAATAGCAAGGAAATTTCCTTAATGAAAGGTAGGTGATTATGAAGCATTTTTAGCCTGTTATATTTAGAATTTGCTAATAATCATTTCTTACATACCATCATGACATAGCTCTTTAACATAGAATATAACTGCCTAGTATGCTTAAAGGACAAAGAAAATAAAATACAATAGATTTTCCTTTCAATGGAAATGGAAAATGAACGAAAAAAGAGACTTAGGTTACAGTTAATGTCTCAAAAAATATGAATGTCTATGAACAAATGGTAAGCTCGACACTTTATCAAGATATTTCCATTTGTAGATTATATTCCTCAAAATATCAATGGTCTGGGAGTATAGCTTTCTTCTCCAAAGTACTAACATATGTTCATTTATTATTCAATAATGGCACTTAATATAGCCATTTGTTCCTATAAGTTAGACATTTAATATGAAG